CAGTTTCTTTTTCGATATATAAGGCATCTAAGTGAGCAAACACCATTTCTGAACACTTACATAACTCTTATAAATTATTATTGTTTTTATTTTTATTTTATAGAGGGGGAGAGAGAGAGAGCAAGTGGGGAACAGGGGCTGAGGGAGAGGGGGAAAGAGAATCCCAAGCAGGCTCCATGCTCAGCACAGAGCCTGAGGCGGAGCTCGATCCCACGACCCTGGGGTCATGACTTGAGCCGAAATCAAGAGTCGGGTGCTCAACCTACAGGGCTACCTAGGTGCCCCAATTTTATAAATTATTGAACCTAGAGGAAGCTCGATGTTTTCCTATATATGCTAATGTTATATGTATATTTTGTAAGATTTCAACCCCAAACCAAGGCCAAGATATCTAAAATATTACAATTATATAAAATATCAAATATGCACAGATTCTTTCTTAACACAAAATGTGACTGCTGTGCTCTTAACTTCCTAAGTCATTGTTACTTAGTTGCACATCTTTTTTCTTTAAATTTATTAATATATTTTGAGAGAGAGTGAGAGTGAGCAGAAGCAGAGGAAAGGTGGAGAGAGAAGCAGACAGAATCCCAAGCAGGCTCTGTACTGTCAGTGCAGAGCATTCTGTGGGGATTGAACTCACAAGCTGTGAGATCCTGACCTGAGCTGAAAACAAGAGCCGGATGTTTAACCAACTGAGCCACCCAGGTGTCCCTTACTTGCATATCTTTATGGGGTTAAGAGATACATAGCATCTGAAGGAACAGTTGCTGTGCTTTGTAGGGGAGATGCTAAGCTACTATATGAGAGACCCAGAAATGCAGGTGTGCAAACAAGCTAGAATTTTCTCTCTCCCTCTTGTGGAGGTGGTTCTGCTCCGTAAGACCATCCAGGGAGCTCGTTCCCTTCTGTTTTATTGCACTGTTACGTGCCCTCTGCCAGCCTTGTTCTGTCCCTTGGTAGACACTGGTTCATACTGCCCCAGCCACCGCTGTTAACCTCATGCACATTCTAGCCCTCAGGATGGGGGACTAGCGAAGGTGGCGGCCAGCCAGCTTCTTCTTTAAAAACTGTGACCCAGAAGTTTCATGGGTCACTTCTGCTCCTGTCCAGTCAGCTGCAGGGCAGCCTGACATCTACAGCTCTAGCTGGACAGCCATGGGTTGAAGGGAAGAAAGACAGACTAGAAGATCCTGGGAGATAATTAGCATGTCTCACAGTAACCATCTCATTTAATATATATTCTAACAAAGATTTAATTAAGTTCTTGCTTAATGGCAGAATGCCTGGGTGGCTCAGTTGGTTAAGCATCCGACTTCAACTCAGGTCATGATCTCACGTTTTGTGGGTTCGAGTCCCACGTTGGGCTCTGTGCTGACCGCTCAGAGCCTGGAGCTGCTTCGGATTCTATGTTTCCATCTCTCTCTGCTCCTCTCCCCATGCTCTTTCTCTCTCTCTCAAAATAAACATTAAAAAAAATTTTTTTAAATTAAAAAGATCTTGCTTAATGGTAATAGCTTATTTCTTAATTTTCTGAGGAAGAAAGATGCCTGCCCACCAGGGAAGACAGCTACTATCCAGTTAATTCATTTATTTATGATCAGAGGGTTGTTTGGTGGGTCCTGCAGCCAGGAGCTGGAGATATTTAGAGCGAATTCTTGGACCACCCTGGCTGTTACACTGAACTCCATTTTATAAGTTGGCCCTTCAGACTTGAAAAAGAATTAATCTCAGGTGTCTGGCTTGCGTAGTCTGTAGAGCATGCAACTCTTCATCTCAGGGGTCCTGAGTTCAAGCCCTGCATTGGACGTGGAGTCTGCTTTAAAAAAAGGAGTTGAGGGGCACCTGGGTGGCTCAGTTAGTTAAGCGTCCAACTCTTGATTTCAGCTCAGGTCGTGATTTCACAGTCCTGAACTTGAGCACTTGAGTGCCTTTTTGGGTCTTGGGATTCTCTTTCCATTTTTCTCCCTGCACCTCCCTCACGTGCGCTCTCTTCCTCTCTCCCTCTCTAAATAAATAAACTTAAAAAAAAGGAGTCGATCTCATATCTCACTGTCCTCATTCAGGTTGATTCCTTAACGGGATTTTGCATTTGGGGGGGAGCTCTTATGAATCTATTTTGCACTTCACTCTAAAGTCATTTGAGTTTTGGGGGCGCCTGGGTGACTCAGTCAGTTGAGCGTCCAACATTGGCTCAGGTCATGATCTCAGGGTTCGTGGGTTTGAGCCCCGCATCGCGCTCTGTGCTAACAACTAGCTTAGAGCCTGGAGCGTGTTTCGAATTCTGTGTCTCCTTCTCTCTCTGGCCCTCCCCCACTTGTGTTCTGTCTCTGTCTCTCAAAAATAAATAAACATTAAAAAAAAAAGTAAATATTTATTGGCATGATTCAAACTAACTGATCATGTCATTTATAATTGTAATACATTGAAATCACTGTTTTAGGGGCACCTGGGTGGCTGGGTCAATTAAGTGTCTGACTTTGGCTCAGGTCATGATCTCACGGCTCATGAGTTTAAGCCCCGTGTCAAGCTCTGTGCTGACAGCTCAGAGTCTGCCTGGGATTCTCTCTCTCTCTCTCTCTCTCAAAAAATAAATAAATAAAATTTTATCAACAAAAAATTAAAAAGAAATAAAAATCATGGCTGAGTTCACCAAAATACTTCACATCACCAACTGGCACCTTTCTACCAAACACAGGAGAGGAGCTGCAAGCATTGGCCTTGAGTTAATACAAGCTTTGTTGCTACAACTAGGAAACCACAATGTCTAGATCTCTAGAAACTAATGTATTCCCTTGACTACTAAAGGGTATGGACGTTGGTTCAAACTTTATCTGCCACTCAGCAGCTGGAGGATTTTTTAAGTTTTTTTTTAATTTATAAGTAATTTCTACACCCCATGTGGCAACTGAACTCACTATCTCGAGATTGAGAGTAACACCCTCCTCTGACTAAGCCAGCCATGTGTCCAGCAGTCGGTGGCTTCAGAAGTGTCAATCTTATGACTTCAGTTTTTTTCTCTTAAAATGACAAGAATAAGGGACGTCTGGGTGGCTCAGTCGGTGAAGCATCTGACCTCGGCTCAGGTCATGATCTCAAGGTTCATGAGTTTGAGCCTCACGTCAGGTGTCGGCTGTCAGCTCTCAGCACAGAGCCTGCTTCAGATCCTCTGTCCCCCACTCTCTTTTTGCCCCTCCCCCCTTGTACACACATGCATGCACGCACATGCTCTCTCTCAAAGATAAATAAACTTTAAAAAATAAATAAAATGACAAGAATAATTTCTCACAGAATTGTAAGCACAGAAGTAATGTATGTAAAAGACCCAGCAGGAGCTTGATAAATGGTATCGTTATTATCCTAACTCTATAGAAGCCTAGAAGAAACATCAGGAGACTGCAGGAGGGACTGGGGTGTCACAGCACACTGGACTGTTCTCAGGCCACCTGCAAACTCCTATGTCCCTTGTGAATTACAGTTTCTTGCTCTCCTTTTTTTTTATGTTCATTTTTAATTTTTTTAATTTACTTTTGAGAGAGAGAGAGAGACAGAGCGCAAGTGGGGAGGGGCAGGGAGAGAGGGAGACCCAGAATCCGAAGCAGACTCCAGGCTCTGAGCTGTCAGCACAGAGCCCGACGTGGGGCCCAAACCCATAAACTATGAGATCATGACCTGAACCAAAGCCGGATGCTTAACCGACTGATCCACCCAGGTGCCCCTTGTTCTTCTTTAAACATCTTCACCTATCTCAAATAAATAAACAAATATCTTCACGAATCTCACAGCTCTTATTTCAATCTATCTTGAATTCTAGTCATTTATGTCTGGCTTTCCTCCTCTCTTCCTTTCCTCTCATCCCAATACAATATCTTAAAGATGGAGCTTGTGACATGGAAATCCAGTGACCACGGCTATCACCAGCAAACCCCTGCTGCATTAGCTAGTGGCAGGCAGGGAACACGTGGTGGCCGAGTGAGGACAAGGACTCAGCACAGACACCAAGGCCGGGCTAGGCTCAGACTTCCATGAGCCCAAGGGCATGACTGTGTCTGGGGGGAAGGCATCCGCCGAAGCCAGAGCGAGGGTGCAGGTTCCCCTGGATTTGTGTCCACAAAGAGAACTCTGGCCACCAAGAGGGAAACCCACGGACACCAGACAGGATGACATTTTCATGGTGTAGACAAACAGATCTGCGGCCAAGCATGAGACGAAGAATGGAAATGAAGGAGGTGAGCGCCTGGGGAGGGGTGTCCGTAGGATTCGGACTTTAAGGGCAGGAAGGAGGCAGGCGGAAGAACAGGTTGGGGCGCTCCTCTGAGACTTTCTTTTTTTCAAGCAGAGAAATATAAACAACTACTCTTTGTCAGGTTCTTAACCTTGAAGTGTTTTCACAATACTCCAGGGGAGATGTCTAGGAAGGCCCGGCGATCCAGATCAACCTGACGTGAAGAAGCCGGAGGGACAGGCTGGACGTCCCTCGAGCCACGCTGCCCATTGAAAACATACCGTGAGCCACAAACACGAGCCACCAGGGCAGATTTTCCAGTAGCCACATTAAAAAGGTAGAAACAGGTGAAAATAATTTTGTTAGTATATTTTTATTTAACCCAAAATATCCAAATCAGAAAGAGAGTTTAAAAGGCCAGGAAAGAACACTCATAGAAATAAACAAATCTAGGGGTGCCTGGGTGGCTCAGTTGGTTAAGCATCGGACTTTGGCTCAGGTCATGATCTCACGGTTCGTGGGTTTGAGCCCCGCGTCGGGCTCTGCGCTGACAGCTCGAAGCCTGGAGACTGCTTCAGATTCTGGGTCTCCCTCTCTCTCTGCCCCTGCACCTCCCCATCTCATGCTCACTCTCTCATTCTCCCTCCCTCTCTCTCTCACTCTCTCAAAAATAAGTTAACATTAAAAAAAATTTTTTTAAAGAAAAAGAACATATTTACTTTTGGTTAAGACATAGTTTTTCTTATGGGACACAAGTGAAAAACATGTTACTCACAGCTTCTGAAGAGGAAGATGGTCTCTGTAAATTCTCGCCTTGCACCCAAATGCTCTCAGTCACAAACGCTATGTGTTCTGCTTCGAGTATAAAAGGAGAAACAAGAAATAGGGCCCATTTGCTCAAGTCATCAACGGACTGGATAGAGGGAAAGAAACACACAAAAAAAGGGGAGAGGATTCAGTATCACTTCATATCACAACAGCCACTAGTACCAACATCCAGGATTCCTCTGGAATCCCAGGTGAAATCTACACGAGTTTATTGGATGCGCTCCCGCAGACCACATTAACCCTGTGTTTCCTGCTGAACTGTGGCTAGGTAACCACCTGCAACACCCCTTCTATGATTCATGACAACTTGAACATCTCTAGATATTTGTTATCAACAATCTGTTCTGAAGCTGGGCTCGACCCCATCATTTCTTCCTGCTCACAGCATGGGGAATGCTCCAAATTACAACTCAGAAGCACATTTAAAGGTGAGGAGGCTCGGGGCGCCTGGGTGGCTTAGTTGGTTAAGCGTCCAACTTTCGCTTAGGTCATGATCTCGCAGTTCGTGGGTTCGAGCCCCGCGTCGGGCTCTGTGCTGACTGCCAGCTCAGAGCCTGGAGCCTATTTCAGAGTCTGTGTCTCCCTCTCTCTCTAACCCTCCCCTGCTCACGGTGTCTCTTTCTCTCCTAGAAATAAATAAAAATATTAAAAAAAAAAAAAAAGGTGAGGAGGCTCAGGAGTACATGCCGGTCACATGAAGCCCCTTACTAACAGAAGCCTGAAGAACTGCTCTTCCATTTCCTCCAGCCTTTATAACATCAATATTGGTTATCAGATTGGATACATCCATTAATCTGTGCTCTCCCTGAAATCCCTCTAAAAGGAGAGTAAATTAATTTTAAAAGGCTTTAACCCACTAAAATCAAGGCATATCCGGAGCAGGAAAGCTGAAATCGAAGCTGCAGGTGGTGAGCCTTACCATCACCACCAAAACATGGTCAAGCTCAGGGCCACCTGGGGGCTCAGTCGGTTGAGTGTCTGACTTTGGCTCACATGATCTCACAGTTCGTGGGTTCGAGCCCCGCGTCGGGCTCTGTGCTGACAGCTCAGAGCCTGGAGCCTGCTTCGGATTCTGTGTCTCCCTCTCTCTCCCTCTCTCTCTCTCTCTCTGCCCCCCCCCCCCCACTTGCGCTCTGTCTCTTTCTCTGTCTCTTTCTCTCTCTCTCTCAAAAATAAACATTAAAAAAATTTCCTTAATAAAAAATTTAAAAAATTGCACAATGGCCAAGCTCCACACAATGCTTGCTTATTACAGTTCAAATCCGCACTTGCTGGGAGGATCAAAAGGCGTTTGTACCTGGCCTAGTAACCTGGCACACAGTGCAGTATTAATAAATAGCTACTGAACTCATTAATAAATGAAAATTTGGAGGAGAAAAAAACTTTCCATGGGTACACTTAACTAGCAATATAGCAGTTAACAAGAAAAAACAGGGGCGCCTGGGTGGCTCAGTCGGTTGAGCGTCCAATATTGGCTCAGGTCATGAACTTGCAGTTCACGGGTTCCAGCACTACATCAGGCTTTGCACTGTCAGCGCGGAACCTGCCTTGGACTCCCTGTCTCCCTCTCTCTCTCTCTGCCCCTCCCCTGCTTGCTCTCTCTCACTCTATTTCTCTCTTTCTCAAAAATGAATAAACATTAAAAAAAAAAATTTAAGAAAACAGATTGTCCTCCTTACTTAAACACAGAATATGTACATATTAAACAAAAAGCTTAAAATTTCCAGTTAGAGGGCACCTAGGTGGCTCCGTCAGTTGGATGGCCGGTTTTTGATGTCGGCTCAAGTCATGATCTCACAGGATCATAGGTTCAAGCCCTGCAATGGACTCTGCAGGGCCTGCTTGGGATTCTCTGTCTCTCTCTCTCTCTCTCTGCCCCTTTCCCAAAAATAAATAAACATTAAAATTTTTTCCAGTTTGTATAAACTTTTTGGTTATACTTATCAATTTCTGTGGGACCTTAAATTATATAAACGTCCACATTCTATTTATCGGATTCTAAATATACGAAAAGTGGGGGCGCCTGGGTGGCTCAGTCGGTTAGGGTGTCCAACTTCGGATCAGGTCATGATCTCTGTTAGTCGGTTCGAGCCCTGGGTCAGGCTCTGTGCTGACAGCTAGCTCAGAGCCTGGAGCCTGCTTCAGATTCTGTGTCTCCCTCTCTCTCTGCCCCTCCCCTGCTCACGCTGTCTCTCTCTCTCTCTCTCAAAAATAAATAAAACATTAAAAATAAATAAACGAAATGTGGAGACAACAAACTCATAAAATTTGTTTCTGTAAAGTTACTTCAGTCAGGGTAGACTGACAATAAGGTGTTTAGCGAACCAAATCATTAGCCCCACGATATTTTAGATCTTGAATTAACAGCACCAATCACAAAGTCAAGCTTTCCAAACGCAGGTCTTAAACATCAGAGCTGAAACCCAACAACCACCAACCACTCCGTCATTCACTGAAGTACTGAGTGACTATCACAGGCAAGCTGCTAAGCAAAAGAGACCCAATTCCTAGGGAGAAAAAGATAAAACCTAGAAACATGAAGGATGATTTAAAGTTTATCTGGGCACAGGGCAGGCCAGTCCCATCTAGTGTGAAGAATGAACATCTCCTTGAGACAGTATCTGAGCAAAGCTGTAGGGTGAGGAAGAGTTAATTTCAAACATCAAAAGCACAGCAGGTTACGAATCCCCGAAAGCCTAAGGCTAGTGTGGCTGGGATCCCCACCCCCCACCCCCACCCCACAACCAGCTGGAGCAGTCAGAAAGAGCGGAAAAGCACTAATTATAGTTATGGTAGTTAACAAAAGACCAATAGAGTCATAGAGATGAATCAAAAGTAAAACTGTCTTCCAAGAAAATTAAAAGTATTTACATCTCGATATTTTAGAATGTCCAAAATCTTCCATCTAAATCTTAGATTCTTTTTTAGTAAATGAATCGAGACTGGAAACCACTGCAATAGAAAAATGCACCCCTCAATTTTTCCTTATTTTGTTAATTCTCTCAATCCAGATTCTTTGGAGAATTAAGCCCTAATTAATTAGACCCTCAGGCAGAACGAATGTCTCAAGGCCCCACATCTAGGTGGGAGTAGCTGCATACTCTCACAACTGAGAAAGCGGTCACTCGTTCTCTGTTATATTAACAAGTAAGGGCAGTTCTGATTTACTAGTAGCACAGTGTAATTCCAAACTAAGCATACAACAAAGTATTCAACCTGGGATAAGATTTTAATTCCCACGCTGGTGTTAGCGGTTTCGCACACACGGAAAACCTTACTTTAATGCCAAGTGAGCCAACTTTCCGGAAGGAAGAGGAAAGGGAAACCGATAAAAGCAACCACTTTTAAGTGTCAACGAAAACAGTGTTAGTGATGTCAGTGGAAATCTGCGCAGCGCTGCACTTTTCCAGAAAGGGGACGGAGGTTTTGCACAGATTAAGCGACCGCCACGTGAAAGAGCCTGCTGAACTTGCAGCCACCCGGCTAAGCACGGAGCCAAAAAAACAAAGGCTGTGTGCAAACCGAAACAAAACAGATGCAAAGGCAATCAGTGGGGTGCCCCGGTCGGTGAAACTCGCCGACTGCCTGGGCCGTTTTTTGTCACCCAGGAGCCATCTGACCGAAGACTGAGGATCTGCTGTCTTTTCTGGGAATTCAAGTTCAAATTCAGCGCACAGTGGAGGAGAGGATGTCAGCAAAGACGCTCCAGGTGGGCAGTGCCCTGGGCGTTCGGGGGCTAATCCTCCCCATACTCCACCCGGCACGCCGCCTGTCGCAGCTCCGGTCCCCTGGTCCCCCCCTCCCCCGCCCGGGGTCTCCAGGGCCTCGCCCGCGTTAGCGCCCCGAAGCCCAGCCCGCCCCAGACCTCCGCGCGCGCGCGCGCACAGCCCCCGCCGCGCGCCGGCGGGCGCTTCCGGCGGGCTGAGCCCCGAGGCCGCGCCTCCCGCCGGCCCCGCCCCCCGCGCGCCCCCGGCCCCGCCCGCCCCCCGCCGGCCTCGCGCCCGCCCACCTCGCTCTCGCCGACGCAGAAGACGCGGCCGCCGCGGCTCAGGCACACGCGGGCGCCGCTGGGCTGCACGGCCGCGCCGCAGAAGGTGAAGGAGCAGCGCGAGGCGCGCAGCCGCTGCACCGTGGCGCGCACGAGCGCGGCCGGCCGGCGCCCCCAGCGCGCCCACAAGTACAGGTAGCACAGCGTGATGAGCATGACCGGCCGGCCGGCGGCGGGGCGCGGGCCCGGGACGCTCGCACCACCGGCCCGCCCCGCCCCTCCGGGCCCCGCCCCCCGCCGGCCGGAAGAGGCCGCGCCGTGGGGGTGAGGCCGCGGGGGGGTTGGGGGTGGAGGATGCGCTGGGGGGGCGGGGGCGAGGATGGAGCGAGGCCTCACTGGGGAGGCGGGGGGGAGGCTGGAAGGAGGCCTCGCAGAGAGGAGAGGTTTGGGATGGAGGGGCCGCGCGCAGCGGCTGGATGCGCGGTGAGGATGGAGGGAGCGGGGAGACCGGACCGCCCTGGGGGCTCGGGGGTGAAGATGGGGGGAGGCTGCTCTGGGGCGGGGGCTGGGGGCGGGGAGAGGGGCAGGGTGAGGATGCTGGGAGGCAGTGGGGGGGGGGGTGCAGGGAGAGAGGCGGGAGGCGTGATGGAGGGAGAAAGGAGTTAAATCCCCACCATACTGCGATTCAGTTGACATACACCCTCTGCCCGGTCCAGTTGGGAATATAAGGTGAGACTGGTTTTATTAGATTATTGTAGGCCTTCTTGCAAAAAGGATTTTACAATAAATTACATAAATTCATACAATGCAATTAAATATTTTGCAAATACGTATGTATACATATATACATGTATCCGTACTATATATACACATAATACATGCATAATATATATATGTCTTCTGGTCTCTAAATATTTTTAAATAAGGACTGGACACAAGTTGAACCCAGATCTAAAAAGGCTGCCTGGTGTTCTTGTACGTGCGGGTCACCAATTTGTGAGCGTCCTAAGACCAGGAAAAAAAGGGAAACTTAACCAGTTATGCGTCACAGTGTTCTTGTCCCCGAAGAGGAGCATAATTATTCCTGACAGTGAGATTTCTCCCGCGGAACCGCGCTTGTTTAAACGGCAGTTTGCAAAAACACGGGGCCCCAGCATCTCTGAAGCATACATAGCAGAGATCTTCCCTGCGTTGCTTCCTACCCTGGCCTTCGTTGTAAGCGGAGGGCACAGTGCGCTAGCGACCTGGTCTGCCGCTCCCAAATCTCGCCTAATCCAAGGATGGATTTTAAGCTGCCCTCACCACTTCTTCGTCAGCCTTGAAATTGCAGTATAGAAAACCTGCTTTTAGAACTTCAGACTTAAACTCAAGAGAACATAGGAACTTCTTCCCCATTGCATAGAGCAACAGTAGATTTTAAAAGAGAGAGAATCCGAAAAGAAATAACTGGGCTCAGAAACTGGATATGCACCACAGTGGACCAGAGCCAAGAGAAAGACAGTAAGCGCTGAGCAAGGCTCAAGCGGTATCTTCCACTCGGCAACTGGGAAGGGAGTTCCTTCATAGTCACAAGGCCTAAAATTGTGTCACTGGAGAAAGACATGAATGAATCCCCTCTAAGTAAGGCCTTAGCCTCTCCAGGATAACACGGGGCTAACAAGTTAGGAATAAGAAAAGGAAAAAGCCCCTCGGTGGCTCAGTCGGTTAAGTGTCCAACTTCGGTTCAGGTCATGATCTCACGGTTCGTGGGTTCGAGCCCCGCGTCGGGCTCTGTGCTGACAGCTAGCTCAGAGCCTGGATCCTGCTTCAGATTCTTTGTCTCCCTCTCTCTCTGACCCTCCCCTGTTCACGCTGTCTCTCTCTTTCAGAAATAAATAAAAAACATTTTTAAAAAAAAAGAAAAGGAAAAAGCTTAACAAAGTGATAAACCCTAATGTTTTACTGGACAAACCCTTCAGATAGCCGCCTTGGAGTTTGCTGAATTATGGCTCTAAGGGCCAGTCTCTCCACTTCCACTATGGAGAGGTCATCGCTTCTGTCCGAAAGTCATAAGCATCTCTCGTTTTTCCCCGTTCCTTAAGAGCTTTGTAACCCCACCTTCCCAGACACCATAACTCCAACGAGCCAGAGTAGGAATTCTCCATCTTTGCCTTTAGATGCTTCAAAATGTCGTGGTCTCAGAAGGGGAAATGGGAGAGTCGATTCTGTATACAGCTCTATTACAAAGAACGGGGACCACAGTGGGTGAACTTGAACTGGGCAGTGTGTGAAGCTCCTTGACCCCTTGGGCTGAGGAGCACTATTCCCCCTGAGGCCCAGGAAGGCAGACAGAGGAGTAAGAGAAGTTAAACAGGCACATGTCAGGCTTAAGGATGGAGCCTGGCTTCATCATCCCCAGATGGAAGAAAAAGGGAAGGATGCAAAATTAGACCTCAGACCTTTCTGTGTGCGTACATGATTCACAACTTCAGTCTCTCGTCACTCTCAAGTGTGGTCCCGGGACCAGCAGCACTGGGACCGCCTGGGAGCTCACTAGAAATGCAGAACCCCAAAGTCCACCCCGGACCCACTGAATCAGCGTCTGCACTTTCACCAGATCCCCAGGTGATTCACAAGCACGTTAAAAATTTGAGCACTGTTGAGGCACCTGGGTGGCTTAGTCGGTTAAGCGTCCGACTTTCGCTCAGGTCATGATCTCGTGGTTCTTGGGTTTGAGCCCCGTGTCGGGCTCTGTGCTGACTGCCCTCTCAGAGCCTGGAGCGTATTTCAGAGTCTGTATCTCCCTCTCTCTCTGACCCTCCCCTGCTCACGCTGTCTCTCTCTCTCTCTCTCTCTCCTAGAAATAAAAAATATATATATATTTAAAAAAAAAATTTGAGCACTGTTGAAGTCCACTTCTGTCACTCCCTAGGTCTGGGCTGCTCTGGACTATTAACTAGACTCTTCCAAACTGTTGTGGAGAACAGACCAGGAATAGACCACAAACTAGGAATTTAAAAGCAAGACACTGTCATTTACAAGAACATCACTGCAGGGAGTTATTGCGGGGCTCACAGGCCAGCAACTGAACGCCAGCTGGGTAACTCCTCACCATGACTCACTCTCGACAGAAAAAACGGATCCAAATTTTCTAGTCTGCTCTTAGGAGGCATGCCCTGGAAGTGATGGGTTAGGGAGAAGGCAGAGTGTTAACCAAAAGAGTGTCACTCCCCTAGAGGACGTCCTGCTCCCCCATGAAACAGATTAACTGTCCCTCCCTAGCGGAAGCCTGTCCTACTGACATTAGCTCTGTCTGCCTTTGGAGAGCTTTCCAAACTCAGTCAAGTGGCCAGAGCTGAGAAGGATAGTTTGTGAAGGGAGCCTAGTCTGATGGGAGTGTTTAGCAGATGCTCAGTTTTAAATAGCTCTCACCGTAAACAGTTCACTTTAGCAACTGAACTACACAGTCTCTGCTTTCTACGTAAGAGCATCTATTCCCTCCACATCGGTGTGGGAGTGCTAAAACACATGATATGCACAGATCTCAGGGTCTCAAGAATGACCATCCGTTTGGAAAAAATGGCCCTCCAAAAAAAGTATTTAAAAGCAAATTTAGTTGAAATCATGAGGTTTTTGTTGGTAAAAACCATAACATGGGAAAAGCTCTTCTTTCATTCTTTGAATGTCTATGGTGTGTTATGTTTATTAGCCAGAAAGTAGCAGGGTGACTATCCGCATATGTGTTTAACTGTGAAGTAAATTAAACAATTTTAAGCCAATGATCCTTTTTATTATGGGTATAAAACCAAAAAGAAAACTGCAATTTGGACTGACAGAAACAAGCTACCAGCAAAAGTATAACTGAGAATTGGGTGGTGAACAGGGCCTCAAAGGGGAAAAAAGTTGTCATTTTAAATCTTGCTGATTGACAAATGCCAGGCCCCAAAAAGGTACAGATCAAACCAACCAACACCCCATCCTTGGTCAAAGATCAATTTTGGATTCCTAATTTTTAAAAGCATTTATTCCAAATAGGAGAATTTTGTATTAAATGCCTTGCACATTTCCATAAAGTATTTCTTACATAAGGAAGCTGAGAATTTGCTATTTTAATTGCATTTTAATTTTTAAAAACTTTGGTTATCTTTCTAATATTGTTGCTTTTTGGAGGTTTTACATTTATTAAAAGGACTCTAAGTTCTACACAATTATTTGTAATTAAAAATACAGATAATAGGGGCACTTGGCTGGCTTAAAGAGCATGTGATTCTTGATCTTGGGGTCATGAGTTCAAGCCCCAAGTCAGCTGTAGAGATTACTTTAAAAAAATACAGATTATAAGGGTAATTTTTGACCCAAGAATTAAAAGATGCTTTCACATAAAACCTTAAGAGCCTATACTCAATATGTCATTATTTCTTCATTCTATGGAATGCCAAAAAAGTAGCTATTTCCCGGCAGCAAAAATAAACATGTTGACTGGTAGTAGGTCAAGACAATGCTAACTGGGAAAATTATTTGAATTTATTCATTATAAATCTTGGCATAACAGTGTGTCACACATTAAATTGGTGAGAGTGTTACATATATTTTAAAGGATGTAAGTTTTAAAATAGGATTGAGCATAGTTAAAATTTATTTACCAGCTGTGTAAAATGTATTGATCCTAGTATTGTCAATTGCTCAGTAACAGGCAGAAGGAGTTAGTTTGGCTACAGATCACACACACGTGTATTTTATAACTGCGGTTTAAGTGACAGTATAGGGACGTGGTAATGAGGAAATGAAGCTTACAGAGAATGGCGTAGACTGAGCTGATTTCCAGGTGCAAGGGCCAGGTGGACCCTCCTCCGGTAAGTGAATATCTGGAGAAGGCTGGGGACCACTTGCCTAATTGTACCACCTCATAAGAACTTGAAACTGTCAGCTATTAGAGGACCAGCATCCCTAAATTGAAAGCAGAATGAAAACCGTGGTAGGAAAGTCTGTATCAGATAAATATACAATGAGCCACACCAAACAAAAGTTTATAGATTAACTAAGCATCCTTCCTGGGATACTAAGAACCAAAGGCACTGTATAAAAATCTTGGTATCTGTTCAGTATATGATTCAACAAGAGCTCTAATGCTTATATTAGTACAGTTTTAGAACATGCCTTGTTAAATCAAGCAAAAGGCAACTTTAGTAACGTAAAGAGAAAAGGAGATAAAATGAGAGGATCAAAAGAATTTTAAGTTAGAACACCTCAAACTATCGAAAATAGTAAACTCGTGTCTTTCA